CGGTCACCTTGGTTGTATACCCAAGTTGCCTACGTTTTTGTAAGTGAACTTTCGTGAGCATTCACCTCATAAAAGGTCAAGTGTGGAAGCTATGTTTTCCAAGAGTAGTGTGAAGATGAAAACCAGGAACTGGATGACCGAATAAATAGTAATGCTTGTAATGACTGTTGGTGTGCAAAACTTGTTCGGTATCCACATAGATTTGTTGGTAGGAATTGCTTTTGGGCACAGTTCGTGGCTACTATGGCGGTGAAGTAAACATAGTGACGAGTGCTTTTGTATGCTTTCATATAGAAATGATAATTGTCATCGACTTTTAATATCAACTTTATTTTTTTTTCCTATCAGAAAAGTGATTCTATGATATTCTATTTCTTTCTTTCTTGACTTAAGAGAATATTTCATAGATGAGATTATTTGACAGGTTGATGCAGGTCGAGTCAACCACAGCCCCACATCGAGTCAATAAACCGTGGCCGGTTTCAGGTTTGAGTTCTGCAGCTTTCCATCTATTAAAATGGTTTGTAGTTAAACTAAGCAATTTGATAGATGCAGACAACTTCATGTTTTGGTTGTCTCATTCTATTTGTTCCTATCTACTGCTAATATCCTATGCCAATTTAATGTATTCATGCAAAGCTAAAAAAAAAAACTTATAGATATGTCGACATTGTTAGTCTTCATCAATTGATTGTTATAATGAACTCAAAATGATATTAATATTAGAAACATAACTTCTCAAACAATCATCGTCAGTAAAATACCACAGTATAAAAATATGAATCAATGTCTTCATTACGATTGTTGTTGTTGCTAATTAAAATAACTAGGACATAATAAATGATAGGATCTTGGGTATATAAAAATTCTCTAGTCAAATAGTAAAATATAAATATAAAAATAATATACAGATGATATATCATGGGTATATAAAAATATAAATAGTAATATATATATAATTTTATACCTCGAAACCACCAAGACGTGTGTTTGTGAAAATTCTCTAGTCAAACAACTCTAAAGAAAAATTTCAATGAACAATAACTTGGCGCAAATTATTGAAAACATTTGATTATCAATATAAAAATAATAGTATACAAATGAATCAAAATATACAGATTGACAAATAAATAGTGTTTCAGAAAATCAACATAAGATTAACTTGGTTTGATAAATTTCTACCCATATTTATAGAAAAAAAATTAAATTCTT